ATTTATTAGCAGTCTTCTAGCATCCCACATTTATGATGACCTTTTATATTTGCTTTTTCAGTAGACCTTTTTCTTTTCTTTTTTTTTCTTTTTGAGTTGCAGTCTTACTCTGTTGCCCAGGCTGGAGTGCAGTGGCATATTTATGGCCATTCTGTCGTCGACCTGCTGGGCTCAGGCGATCCTTCTGCTTCAGCCTTCCAAGTAGCCGGAGCTATCACACCCAGCTAGTTTTTTATTTATTGAAGAGACAAGGTCTTGCGAAGTTGTCTGGGCTGGTCTTGAACCCTCAGGTTCAGGCAGTCCACTTGCCTTGACTTCTCAAAGTGCCGAGATTACAGACTGAGCCACCGAGCTTGGCCTTTTTTTTTTTTTTTTTTAAGGGTACTTTTAGTGTTAGTTTGGCTTAAAGTCATATTTGTTGAACTGGTATTTTGCTTTGGGGACTTCATAATACCTCCAGTTAAAAGACTGTTTCTTTCTTTGAGGATAATGAAGGTTGATTGACTTTAACAAATTATTACATAATAAACATTTAATTGTTATTCATATTTTATCCATTCTACCAAATGTAGGATTGGACATAGTCCCTTTCTTCAAAATCTACAGTGTGTTATCCAGATGCCAGTGTTCATGAATGAGGCTTGCTAATGTTGTATAGATAAAGGAATAATTGAGTTATATTAAATAATTTAATTAGGATAATAAAAGTTTTAAATTAATGAAAACTCTTGTACAAAACTGAATATGTTAGTCAAGTTCCTTGAAAAATGATCATATACTAGTAATTTTAAGGGACGTAAGGTGTTACTCTTCATTCTTCTAAAAAAATCAGCTTATTTTTAGCTTAATGTAAATAAAACTTTAGCTTTTGTTGTTTTGAAGGAGGAACATTATCCAAAAATTAGAGGAAAAATGAAGAGTGTGGTGCCTGACAGTCACCATGGGCTAGTCATAAAGGGACCATAAAATAGATCGATCTCAGGGGATGTGTGTATTTCAAAATATATCTCCAGTGGCTCTGAGGGAAAGGTGAGTGGAGGTCATGATTGCTGTTAGGGAATTCTAAACACATCACTGTATATGACATAATTTAGATTTTATCACTTAAGACTGTCTTGTTTTCAACAGAGTAAGCAAGGTAGTAGGGTTCCCCCCCCCCAATAATGGGATCTCACTCTTTTACCCAAGCTGGAGGGCAGTGACTATTCAATGGCACAGTCATAGCTCACTACAGCCTCAGATGATCCTCCTGCCTCAGCCTTTGAGTTGCTGGGACTATAAGCACATACCACAGTGCCTGACTCCAAAGCACTTTTAAAAATTAGAAATTTGATCTATATCAAATGGTTGTCCTTTATTGTGACAAATATTACAGTCTTAAAGTAATTTCATAGTGTTTTTTGTTTAAAGTTAGGCTGTTAAGAAAAAATACTTTTTAGTGGGTATATTTCTTTGCTTGTATTTTAAAAAAACATGCAGTGAATAAATAGTAGAATACTTAACGTTGGTTATATTTTGTTCTAATACTTTTTGTGTAAAAAAGAACCTTAAATTTTAACTAGAGTTAACAGTTGTTGAATTTAAGTGAAAGATATAATGGATGTTTTCACTATTTCATTTTTGCTTTATGTTTGAAAATTTTCATAATGAACAGTTGAAAAGGATTTTAATTGAAGATGATAATAAAAAACTTTTATTAGTTGCTTATCTTTATCAACTACTAGGAGGCAATACATATCTGAGTGTCTTCTACATGTAAGATACTGCTGAATCCTGTGGTGAATACAGATACACTTGAGACATTGTGTCTTCCCTCAAGAAGATTGTGAGAGACATATATATATGTGTAGTGAGATGTGTGTGTGTGTGTGTGTGTTGTTTGTGTGTAGTGAAAGGCCTTTTACATAAGTGATGTGTTAACAGAGTACATAGTGTAGCAAAGAAATAAAAGAAAAGCATGAGAAATTAGCTTATAGTGTATTCTGATGAAAGATTTTGTGGTGCAGGAGTAAGAGTTTTATTTTAGGAAGTCCCATATGAGGCCTGAAGGCTTAGCAACACAACCCTGTTGGTGTTGGTTGATTTTAATGAACTGATTGAACAAAGTGAAAATATTTTTAAGAAAGTTGATAACCTGTTCTGACCTGTGTAGGAATCTATCATCTTTGACCTAAAACACAAAGCATTTTGTGCTTCTTTTTCTTATGAACTGTAGTGTTCCTCCTGAAACTGCAAGAGCTCAAGAGCCATTTCTTGCCATCTTTTATGTAGAACTTAAAACTCTGAAAAATACATTTAAATTAGATGCATTTATAAAATGTGTTATAGCAGAACACTTACTAAAATAAGATTGTGCACATGTATAGTGAAATAGGAACTTGAACTTCTAGGTCATTTGTTTTTAGTTCAACAAATTAATATCACATAAAACTCTGGCCTTCTTGTTGTCTTGTGTCTTATAGTGTTCAGAAGAGCTAAGATTAAGTGTTTCTAGATGTGTGCTATTTAAAGCTCTCTCTCAGTTTAAGTAATTCCTTCCTTAAAGGGTTGCATCATGTTTTATGTGGTGCTGTTTTCCCAGTGCTATTTCTTGTTTTTTTTTTTTCTTTTTCTTTTTTGAGTTGGAGTCTCACTCTTGTTGCCCAGGCTGCAGTGCAGTGGCATGCTCATGGCCACTGTAGCCTCGACCTGCTGGGCTTAGGCGATCCTTCCACCTCAGCCTTCCAAGTAGCTGGAACTACAGACACGTGCCACCTTGCCTGGCTTTTTTTTGTGATTCATTGTAGAGAGTTGCCCTGACTGGTCTCGAACCCCTGGACTCAGGCAGTCCTTTAGCCTCGGCTCTCATAGTGCTGGGATTACAGGCTGAGCCACTGAGCCCAGCCTCCCTGTGCTATTTCTAGGGGAGACAGAATGGTATATTGGCTAAAGAATGTGGCTTGGGTTTGAATCTTGGCTTTTCATTTTAGCTGTTATAAAATCTTAGATAAAACGTGTATCCTCTCCACAACATGCTTGTCTGTGAAGTGGACACAATAGTATTAGCACAATGTTGAGTTCAGAATAACTATGCGGTCTGTTGTTATTTCCATAAGTTGTTGACTTGGGAACCTCTTTATTTGTAAGATTTTCTAGTAGAGTAGTGCCTGAAATTTTAGCTATAGAGCGTATTACAACATTTTCATTTTAAAAATCTCATTCCCTTTATAATTCAGGTCTGAAAATAACAGTGACCAAGGCTTGAGTTCAAGGTCAGCGTAAATAAGAAGTGACAGAAGTAGGACTGCAGTTAGGTTTGTGTGACTCTAGAAACTGGATTCAGTTTGACTGCTGTTATCTTAAGTGCTGCTGCATGTTTACTTCTGCGTGACATAGGAGTGCCATTAGGTTTATAGCACATCATTTTGTTTACCTTCATTGATTAATGTTCCTTATCAAGGTGACAGGATATTGATCTTTCAAAGATGCTTCTTGACCATTGGTCTTTAGTGTGCATATCATTTATCAAATGTGTGTCATCAGAAAACTCATCAGTAATAGAAAAATAACAAAGTACACATCTTGATGTTAGTGGTCTAACAGTGATAGCTAACATTAATTAAATGTAATGTCAGATATTATGATAAGTTATCTTTATATTAATGTATCATTCTTCAGTGAAGTATCTATACTGGTATTTATTTCCACTTTACTATTGAGAAAACTTGCTCAAAGGTGGTTGGTCAGTTGTAGGGAAATTGACTAAAACTCTATTCTGATCTAATGACAATGTCTTGACTGTTGTGTAAATACATCCTTTGTTATTATAGTAAGTTCTGTCTTATTCACAAATCTTGGGGAATGTTTTATTTCAATTGAGTTGTAGTACTAAATAATTCCTTTATGTTACAGAGACTCAGTCCGCTAATATTCCTAACTCTATATATATACTTGAAGAACCTTCGACTTAAAGCAAGTTATGTTTGGGAAATTTACTGGCTTGGAATTTTGCAGTGAGGCTCTTTGAGATGGTTAAGTTGCCAGCTAACTTGTGAAAATAAGTAATCCTCATAAAGCAAAAATGAAAATTAAAAGAAAATAGAACAAAAAACAATAAAATGGAAAAAATACTGTCTTGGAGGTTGATAGTTGAGTAACAGTAGGTTTAATTAGAACTTTCAAAGATTTACAGAAATTCTGAGTCTTTCAAAATCTTTCAAAGAATTTTGGAAGGCTAGCATTCTTTGTTAATTGTGTTTCCAGCTTTATCAGTTTATTTTGCACTGTTACCGAAAAAATACATCATACGTCTAACACATGTCACCTATCAACAGGGCTATACTTGGATTGATTTATTAATAGGGGTAACATAATGAGAGCTGTTTTTCTTCACATAACTGAGAGAGTGAAAGGAAGAGGATGATAAAGAGAATGTCTGCTTTTAGTAGTATAAAATAAACTGTGAATGATTGCACAGAGAGTTGGTGGGGGAGCAGCTTCCTGTCCTGGCAATCATTCAGTTACTGCCCATAGCGAGATGGGGGAGAGGGAGGTATAAGAGTGTGGATCATTTGTAAAAGATGCTTGCAATTTTTAGGGGGGTACAAATAAGTGCTCTGACAGACAACCTTTATTTCAAAAAGTGTTTTGAGATTTTGTAGTATTTTCCAGGTTTATCACTACAAACAGCATTTTGAATTTTTAAACATTTTAACTTTTGTTTGAATTCTGGTTAAGTAAGAGATTATTAGAGGACAACACTTAATCACAGTTTACATGTACATCTGATACCAGAATTTAAAGATGATGATTTTCCTGTGTTCTTTAGATGAAGATTCTGGGTCTTATTCCTTTAAAAATATTTAGATTTACTAATTATGAGGAAACTAACTTTTTGATATCAGTGTGCTAACATTTATATGGTATAAGTTTTTAGTTATTTCTATTTGTAGACTGTTGTGACACATAATTTTATTACTTTTCTATTTTATTAAAATTAGTTACACAATTCTTTTATTTAGGAGGTGGCTGTTTTTGTCTTTGACAAAAAGCTGATTGACAAATATCAAAAATTTGAAAAGGATCAGATCATCGATTCTTTAAAACGAGGAGTTCAGCAGTTAACTCGGCTTCGACACCCTCGACTTCTTACTGTCCAACATCCTTTAGAAGAATCCAGGTAAATTTTTATAAAAAACTTATATAGAAGACTTCCTGAATAGATACTTAAAAATAATTTTATATTTGAAGTCTATGTTGTGTTGTCAGTGAAAAACTCCTATAAGCTAAGTGTTGAGTTCTTATGCATTCGTTTTTTTCTTTAAACTTTATTTGCATGGTCTACATGCATAATCTTTTTTCATTTATTAATACTTTCTTCATGTTTGCCAAGATTCTTTTCTTAAGTGTCTACTCTATGCTTAGCACTTGAACAGTCAAGTTAGAAGGTGCACAAGAGGTGTGGGCTGCAGTTCCTGCCTGAAAGTAGCTGTCCTTGCTAATTTGCTAGTTTCTTGTCTCTTTTTCATTGATTTAGTATTTGGGGGCCAATTTTGTATGTATGCCAAGTACTGTTGTAGACATTTAGCCTTCTACTGTGTCCCACATGTCGGGTCACTTTATCATATATTTTTCTCAAGAGTGAGCTTAGAAAATGTCGCTGAGGATGACAGTAAAATGAAATTTATGTGACCTGAACTGGACCCTTAGCCCTGCAGTTTTTTGATACTCTTTTAGATACCCTAGCTTTAGAAACCTTTCCCATATTACTCATAACTCCAGATTTACTCATCCTTTTCCTTAGCAGACTGGATTCTCCTCTCTAAATTCAGAAGATATTTTGCTATTTGTGCTCTGTGGCCCTTAGGACTTTTTAAGAATGGGTAAGAACAGGCAGGTGAAGGACACAGAGCTGTCAGGGTTCCAGACTTCCCGTCTCGCTTCAACAAGGACAGTTTTGCTTTTATCTATTTTGTATACCAGGTTTCTTCGAAATGCTTACTTGGAGTCTTCAGTAACTCTCTACCCTGTCACCTCCGAAAGGCACAAGATCCCTTTTTCTAAACTAAAAGAAAAAAAATACTTACTTTGTGAATAAACAATGCTAAATGCTTTACATTCTTTAACTCACTCATCTAATGTTCACTGTATAGGAGAATAGAAGATTAGAGGCATTACTGATTACTTGAACTTTATGGTTTTAAGTGGCAGAGCTAGGATTTGTTCTGTCACCCTGGTTCCTGAGCTTTTTTTGGTATAAACTATACCTGCACCCCAAATCTGCTCATGCTCATGTGCTTCTCTCCCTCTCCTCCGCCACCCCATCTCTGTTTCTCTGTCTCTCTTGAGGTGCGGTCTTGCTATGTTGCCCAGATTGGTCCTAAACTCCTGTGCTTGTGTGATACTCTTGGCCTCTCAAGCAATTGGGACTACAGTGGCTCATGCCTGTGTGCCTAGTTTGCTCATATGTCTCTTATCATAAAAATGTTCTGACCGGGCATGGTGGCTCATGTCTGTAATTCCAGGGAGGTAGAGGAGAGAGGATTGCCTGAGTCCAGGGGTTTAAGACCAGCCTGGGCAACTTGGCGAGACCTTGTCTCTACAATAAATAAATTTAAAAAAATTAGCTGAGCGTGGTGGCACACACCTGTAGTTCCAGCTACTTGGAAGACTGAGGAGGAAGGATCGCATGAGCCCGGCGGGTTGAGGCTGCAGTGGCTGTGAGAGTGCCACTGCACTCTAGCCTGGGTGACAGAGTGAAACTCCTGCTTAAAATAAAAATGTTTTTGTTGCCTTTCTTTTCATGGATAAACCCAAAAATCAATAGTTGCTGTTTCTTATGTAATAGTTACTATCGTGAACTCTTTATCCCAAAGTAGACTAAGTTTTTTTTTTTTGCCACCCTTGTTCTACGCTTTCCTTAGTTTTTGTTGGACTATTTTCTTTTTTTTTTGAATCAGAGTCTTACTCTTACTGCCCAGGCTGGAGTGCAGCGGCATGCTCACAGCCACTGCATCCTTGACCTGCGTGGCAGCTGGAACTACAGATGCATGACACCATGCCTGGCTAGTTTTTTGTGATTTATTGTAGAGACGAGGTCTCACCAAGTTGCCCAGGCTGGTCTTGAACCTCCGGGCTCAGGCAATCCTCTTGCCTCGGTCTCCCAAACTGCTGGGATTACAGACTGAGCCACTGTGCCCTGCCCTATTTTCTATTGGTGTCTGTCGTGTCACCTATTAGAATCCTACCCATCCTTGTTACTTTAAGTTGTATTTGCTTATCTTATGTGTCTTTTTTGAGTCAGAGTCTCACTTTGTCACCCATGCTGCAGTGCAGTGGCATAATCACAGCTCACTGCAGCTTTGACCTCCTGGGCTCAAGCAATCCTATTATCTCAACTTCCCAAGTAACTGGGACCACAGGTGAGTGTGCCACCATGCCCAGCTAATTTTTAAAAAAATTTTTTATAGAGACAAGTCCTCACTATGTTTTTCAGGCTGGTCTTGAACTCCTGGACTTAAGCAGACCTCCTGCATCGGTCTCCCAAACTGTTGGGATTATAGGCGTGAGCCACCGCACCCGGCCTGCGTGTCTTGCATCTCATAATTACATTTTAAGTCTTTTGAGGGGAGAAAGACCATGTATGATACTTTTCTTTGTCCCTGAACTTCTTTTATAGTGATTTAAATATTGTAGAGCTAGGAAATGTATTGGCAATCATGCAGCTGGACAGTTCAAAGATTATTTTAAATATCTTAACTGTTAAGATGTAAAAATTACAGTAGTGTTGATAGAAGTAGGGATCCTTTAGGGAAGGAAAAGATAACTTCCAGTTTTTAATGAATTAATAATATTGAGATGAAATTTGAATTACCCAATGGAAGTGTACCACAGAAAGAGTAATCCACATGGAAATCCAGAGTTGGTGATGTCTGTGTGGTTTAGTAACATAGAGGCAGTTATCAAAACCATGGAAAAAATGAGTTTTTCAAAAACGTGAGTGAAGAGAGCAGGGTACTGAGGAAAGAACCTTGAAGTATAGGGAAAAGAAGAGCCAGGTAATAAAGCAGGACTGTTGTCATATGGCAGGAGAATTGGCAGCATGTCTTGGGAGCCAAAGAAGGGGAAAAAAGAAGCCACTGATACTGGGGACCACAGAATAAAAAGAAAATAAGAGGCTGGGTGTGCTGGCTCACGCCTATAATCCCAGCATTTTGGGAGGCCAAGATGAGAGGATTGCCTGAGCCCATGGGTTTGAGACCAGCCTGGGCAATTGGTGAGACCTCATCGCTACAATAATTCAAGAAAAATTAACTGGGTGTGATGGCACATACCTGTGGTTCCAGCTTCTTGGAAGACTGACGCGGAAGGTTCACCTGAGCCCAGCAGGTCGGCACTGTGGTGGCCATGAGCGTGCTGCCGCACTCCAGCCTGGGCAACAGAGTGAAGACTCCGACTCAAAAAAAAAAAAAAAGAAAGAAAAGAAGGACGGGGAAGAACCATTGCATTTGACAAGTGAGAGGTGGTTGTGACACTTGATGATTTCACTAGGATGGTGACTTGGAAGCCAGAAAGTAGGTATAGAGGAGTACAGCAGAGAAGATGCTATATCCCATAGGAGGAACTCAAAGGAAGAGGGTTGAGGAATCAGCTCTGGTGTTGTGTAGGACAAGTGAGGTCATTCATGTTGGATGATGAACTGCACATAACTACGCTTTTTTTTTTTAAGGTAGAAAGTAGCTAATGGGTAAGCAGTGGGTAAAGGGGGCCATGGAATCAGGAGTTAAGTAAGAGGGCTGTTGAATGAATGTTCTTGACAATTGAAAAATAAAGAGCACAAGATTAAAGTATACTTTGTTGGCTTTATAAACTGTCAGTTTATAAAGGAAATGGGTTTTCTGTTTTTTCCTTTAGCTTATGATACAAGCAAGACAGTAAAAGTCACCTCTGATGGTTATTGCAGGATTGAGGGTTCACTCAGCAAAGGATGGTAAAGGTGGTAGTTTACTGTTAATGTAGTTGGGAAAAAAGGAAGGAGTCAAGTATAATCAAGTCTAAATTTGTTGGATAGAGATGCTGGAAAGCTAAGTTTGGTGGCGGTAGTGAAAGTATATGGCTGCTAAGTGCTGTGATTGAGGGATATGGCCCTTGAGAGGATATAGCCCTTGTGGCTTGTAATCGAAATGAGTATTCATGAAAGACCATAAGACTTTAGAGTTTGAAGCACAATCATGTGGGTGTTGAAGTGACCAAGGATGATATTTGGGTTAAAACACAGAGGGGTGAAAAAGAAAGAGCTGCCAAGAGAAATGAGTCCTGGGAATTGTAGGAAATTGTAGTAAAGACTTGGGTACGAGCTGTTTTTCTCCAGTGTCGTTCAACAGAAGAATGCCCCGTGTGCATTGTGTTGATGAGCTAAGTGTTGGGAGTCAAGAACAAGCTTGCCTCCTTGGTGACGACTGCGCAGGCCGGCAGCGCGACTGACCCTTTCTCTCCTTCAGCCTAAGGGTCTCTGTCTTCATCCCTTATATGAGGGGCCCCCAGAAATGATTGCTCTTTTGGAGGGCGGGCCCCTTGTAGTACAGGCTTTCCCTGCTGGGTAAGTGTTCTAGGAACCCACTGGCATCAGTGTGCCAGCTAGCAGCATTGTTGTGAGAGGCTGGGTTCAGCTTCAGTGAATTTTTTGGTGGCAAACAGGTGACTGGTTCGTTTATCACGGCAATGTACCTAACGCACCACCCTGAGTGTTAAGCGGTTTTTGACCCAAAAGAGCATGACTTCCATGTCCCACCCTCCCTATTCACCCAGTCTCACTCCGGGCGATTTTTTTGTTTCCCCGATAGAAAAGGTTTTAAAGGGAAACGTTTTGCTTATGTGAGAGAGGTGAAACAAAAACCAGCAGAAGCACTAAATGCATCAAAATTGATGAATTCAAAAACTGTTTCAAACAGTGGAAAAGCGTCTTGATAGGTGGATTGCATTAAATGGAAAGTACGTTGAAGACGACTGAAGTTTAAATGTGAGAAGACATACATTTTTATAAATAAATTCTGGGTTTTTTTGGGTCCCCTCTTGTATATTGAGCTTCTGCATATACATTCATTTGAAAAATGGATATTCAGGTCTTGCAGACAGTTGAAACAGCAAAGGGCATACTTGCCATTAAGCAGTTACTGTCCAGGCACAGAAGTTTGGCATTGCTTTGTTGCTGCATTGCCTTGTACTTCTTCATTGGTAGAGCCTGAAACCGACAGCCTAAAATTGTTAGGACTTGAACCTCAAATGCTTGGTAGATATAATTGCAGAAGTAACCTCATTGGCGTACATGCTATATATATTTTATATAATTATATCTCATTTGTTCTTCACAGTAACTCTTCACAGTGAATCTATTGTCATCATTTTACAAATGGGCAAAGTGAGGCTCAGAGCTATAGTTTGCAGTGTCACCAAGGCAGGAAGTAGGAATGCTGGGACTTGGTCTCCACAGCCTGACCTCTTGGGCGTTACTCTATAAGGCTGTTGAATGCCAGTCTGTAATTGTTTTCCAAACTTGTAAATCTTCTTGTACGTCAAAGAGTAATAATTTACAAAATTTAAAAATGGTGACACCTTTCAAAATGATGTATAAAATAGATAAAAGCAAAGTCGCTTTGATTGAAATGGGAACAAGGCAACTGGAACTATGCCTCGTCCCCCTGATTACTCTTGCTTCGGAGGCGTCTGTGGGGAATCTGCATGTTCCCTTGGACATATTCTGGAAATTCAAGCCTTAGAAATAAGGATAATGTTTTATGTAATGTAACAGTATTTTTAATTAGTTCATTGGCTTGCCATAAAAAATATCAATCATTTAAAAAATAAGTAAAATAAGCCGGGCTTGGTGGCTCAGCCTGTAATCCCTTGCCTTTGGGAGGCTGAGGTGAGTGGATCGCCTGAGCC